CTCTCTCTCTCTCTCTCTCTCTGTGTGTGTGTGTGTGTGTGTGTGTGTGTGTGTCCGGTACTAACCTGTGAAGGTGGCGCCTTGTTGCAGGTACATCAAAGACGAAGCTGGAAGCTATGGCGCCACAGGTAAGTCTCCCTGGCCTCCGCCACTCTCTCTCTCTCTCCAATGCTACTCTAGCTCCTACTAGCGCCCAGCGCTGAAGACTACTGCTAACGCTACTACTACTACTGCAGCTCTCCTCCAGCGTGCTGCTGCCCACTCCTGAAGACTGCCTCCTGCCTGCTGCACGTGAAGTGCCTGGGAAGTCCCTATGAACTACCTCGCTACTGCCTCCTCACTGCCTGCAGCCTGCAGGGCGGGCCAGTCTTATATAGTGCTGGCCCGTCCAGGAGGCTGCTCTTGCCAATGCCAAAACTTGCCAGACCCTGGTGATGAAGTTCAAACAAAGGTTGTCTTCAAAACAGGCCCAAAATGGCCTGTGCCAAAAAGCCTGGTCTGGTGCCTAAGTTTCAGGGCAGGTCGACTTTATGAGGGCCTGAAAATGGCCCTCGTTTTCAGGCTTATAGGCTGAAACTACAGAGGGCCGGTAGGCCCTCGTTTTCAGTTTTTCAGGCTGAAACGATACAGGGCCTGTAGGCCCTTGTTTTCAGGCTTTCAGGCTGAAAACGGCACAGGGCCTGTAGGCCCTTGTTTTCAGGCTTTCAGGCTGAAAACGACACAGGGCCTGTAGGGCCCTTACTTTTCCTTGTTTGGTCGGGCCTTGCTGGTCCGTGTGTGGATGGGCAGTATGCCACAAGAAGGGTGTGGTAGAAGCAAAACGCGAACGACCAGCGGTAGCCTGCAGAGGTCGTGCAGCGGTCAGCAGACATTTCAGACAGGGGTTTCTTCTTCAGGCAACGTTCGAGATCGAGACATCGAGAAAGTGCGGAGGGAAACGGGAAAGCGGGGGGTGTTTGGGAGGGGCCGAGGGGCTGAGGGTCAGCCGTGGAGGGGAAAAAAAAAAAAGGAAACAAACCAAAAGAAATAAAAGAACGGATGGAAAATGAATGAAATTGCCGACTTTTGCAGGAAGATGCACTCGGACCATTTTTCTTTTTTTGAGTTTTGAGTTGCATGTACCGACAGTTACATGTGTGTCTGCCAGGCTGCTAAAGGGTGCTATTGCACTATGGAACAGACGCTGTGGGAAACAGCCTTCTTAGGGCATATTACTCACACCAGGAAGGATTTGCAGCCAGATCATACAGGTGTGGCCGGAATTGTGGTCTGATGCAGGTTAAATAGTGTGAGTAATATCATCAAAGAATCTCTCTCTCTCTCTCTCTCTCTCTCTCTCTCTCTCTCTCTCTCTCTCTCTCTCTCTCTCTCTCTCTCTCTCTCTCTCT